CTCGTCGCTTTCTGGAATCACTCGTTCGCAGTGGAAAGAAGATTGTGCCTCCTCGCTCTCGTCTGACGCTGTGTAAAGCTCTCTGAAGTAGTTTAGCAGGTGGTTTTCAATTGTTTCGGAGCTGTTTAGAGTCTCGCCGTTCTCGATACCCAGCTCTGTTATGACGGTTTTTTTCCTTCGCCTCTCGCCAAGCTGGAACGTGCTGATATTTTCCCCCGCGATGAATGTATCGTTGATACGCATAAAGTGCTGGGAAAACATTCGCTGGTGAGTAAGCATCTGCGCTTTCACACGGTTGATCGTAGCCAACATCGTTGGATTTTGATAATAGTTGTCATATGCTTGCCGAAGCTGCGAATACAAACGTTGGTGTTCAGCATGAAATTCCCTGTACAGGTCGCGAGATTTCCACCGAAAAAAAGAAAGAATTTTCGGTTTAGCGCATGATATCCACCACGTTATCCAGTTTGGAAAGTTCCGTCGCTGTTGGGTTACATATTGCCATCTAATCTGGAACTCTTCGATGTTCTCTGCAGTGAGAATATGGGGACGAAGGGACCAGTAACCGCGGCCAGGTTCGCGTCCGAGGCTAGGGAGGCATATTCTTGCGGTAAGCGCTTTGTGGTTCGTAAAAGAGCATACATGCGTGGCTGCACTCCGGAGATATGTGCATAGACCATTGCTGACGTATATGCGGTCGAGCCTGGAGACCGAGTTGTGCGTTACGTATGTGGAGGAGGGGGTCGTGGGGTACAACTTAACCCAAACATCGTTGAGTTGTAGTTGCTGTACCGTGGCCTGGAGAGCGGGGCTGCTGTTGAAGCCCGACGAGTCACATGATCGTAGCACACAGTTAAAATCTCCGGCAAGTATTAGATGTTCGGTGTTGTGCCGAAGATAAAAGGCGACGGTATTATTGAAGAAGCGTTCTCGCTCGGCACGCATTGCTGTTCCCGACGGTGCATATACGTTTGCCAATGTGGTGTTTTCAACCCGCAGAGCAACGAGCCTGCCATCCAAGCTCTTTTCTACATGGGAAAACCGAATGTATTCTTTTAGCGCTATTGCAGTCCCCCTTCTCGAATGATCGACATTTGCGACAACGTTATAGCCAGGAATCGAGAGCTGCTCGTTCTCCACTTCTTGCAGAAACACGATGTCAAGCTCCATCGTTCTGATAAAAGTTCGGAAGGCGTTGAGTTTTGTTTCGTTGGTGATCGTGTTTATATTGATAGTAGTGATGTTGTAGCTGGCGATTGGATTCACGATTGGTTTTCCAGATCCCGCTCGTCATCGATACCATCTCGTCGCTTTCTGGCTCTAGGGCGTCCTCTAGAGTTTGTGCTGTGCGTTGACATTGCCGAGTCGTCTGTCTCGTTGCCATCGGACTTTCCACCATCAGGGGGCTGTTGACCGGGCGTGTTGGACAGCGACCTTTTCTCCGGTGGCGGTTTTGGACCCGATACGGGTATGATGGGGAGAGTGAGTGGAGGAAATTGTGTCTCCGACTGCGTGTTAATTGGTTTTTGTGTAACCGACAACAACTGCTGTTTCGGCTTCTTAGAAGGTGGGGGTTTTGTCTGCAACGTTGGCTTTTGGCTCCGTGGCTTCGCATTTGGTTTGGTTGGTGTTGGTGCAGGCTGCTTTGTCGCATCGGCATACGACTTCTGCACTAGCAGCTTTTTGTTCACGCAGGTGGCGCCGATGTGGATGAAGTCCCGGCAGTGTCGGCAAGTTTGACGTTGACCAAAATAGGATAGCAACGTCGTTTCCCCATCGATAGTGACCCACGACTCGATGTTGTGTTTCACGATCATCTTGGCAATTCGAACACCAGTGGAAATGCCCGGAAAGTACAAATCACCTCCGCACATGTGTTCGCGAACTGAGATGACGTCACCGTACGCGGACAGGAATTTGATGATGGCTTCGTCTGATACGTCCTCAGACAGATCGTACAGCTTCACCTCCACTGCCCCGTCTTCCATGGTTATTCGCAGGGGAACCGTCTTCCCCTCACCCACTTGCACTTCGTGTTTTCCGTCGTGTTCTTCGCACACTTTTTGTGCCATCTCCAGGTCGACGACCTTCACGAAGGCACACCCGAGACTTCTGCTACACTGTATTCTCAGCACTTCACCGGGCTTTAAACCCAACATGGTTCCAACAAAGCTTTGCACTTTTGCATAGTCCGGTTTTTTCGGTAACATCGCATAATCTATGCGGAATGTGTTCGCGCGACGCGCCATCGTGGAGTCGTAGTACGCGGGAAAACGCTACGGCTCGGCGATGGAAAAACGCAGCGCGACAAACGATATATAGCTTGAGATCGACTTCCAGAAATAGCGATAGCGTAAGTACGTCTGCTTGGCTCGGAAGTTGAGCGCGAACGTCATCAGAGCGTTGTTGTCAGTAAGAACGGTAGTGCGGTTCTAGTTTCGTCTGAAGTTCGACCGGCTATGGTGACCAGTGGACGACGATGAGACTCATCGAGACGGGGTTAAAAGACAAACAAAAACTATTAAAGAGATACAAAAGACAAAGAAATTAAATTTTAATACTAGACATTTGCAGAAACACATAAATCGACGGCATATAGCAGATATCGCGGGTTCCCAACACGTCTCTGATAGGGATATAAGGTTGTCTTCCTTGGGCCTCGAGGGTATTCAAAAGTCGCTCTCTGGTGGCGTCATTATTCGTTCATTGCCAAATTGCGTGATCGATGTTATCGTAACGGTTTCCACACCGACAGATGTTGCTGCCCACGAGGTTTATTCGGAGATACGTACCTAGCGAGTAGTGGTTGGACATAAGACTACTCATCACGTGAATGAAGTAACGACTTTAAGTCCAAGCCTTTAAATCACGCTCTCGAAGAAACATTAGGAATAATTCAATGTAATCACCGTCAAGGATTTCCAGTGTTCCAATGGGTTTGCCAACTCGAAAGGGTACTCTGACGCACTAAATGGTAAAATTCATCGGGTGAAATTTGCCTGTCATAAAATTCGCCTTCCTGCGTGCCCACCTTTCCTAAAGGGTCCGCCTTCTTGTTGCCTGGGATTGAGTAATGTGAGAGACCCATACAAACACACTTAGAAAATAATACCGAACTCGGATTAATTTTCTACCGAACCTCTTTGGTTACCAACGAGAAACCGAATAAATGGTTTAAAAACATTTTTTTCAGGCGTACTTATCGAATCAGATAGATAGAAATGAAGGCCAAACGACATTTACGAATTCGGTACGTGAAAACCGAGAAGCTCGGTAAACAGAACCGAATATTTGCTAAAACGTGTTAAACGTCAAACGCTTAAACGTCAAACGTTCCACTTGCGCTCAACATCGTGACGGAAATTTTAACCGAAAACTCGGTTCTCTAAGGTGAGTCTATTTTTTTCTCGCGTGTGCTCGTTGGTCGTGTGTCGTGTGCAACAATTCAGTGAAAATGGAAAAAGTTCTGCACGTTTGATTGAAATCTTTTGTAAGTATTTGATTCATGTATATATTTGAAAGAGTTTATAAAAGGGGGTGACCCCGGCGTAGTGGTTAACATCCAAACCTCTCACGCCAAAGTCACGAGTTCAAATCTCACCCCCGGACAAGTCACGAATGACCCAAGAGTGTAAAAGTGACTGTAAAAAAAAAGAGTTAATAAAAATAATAAATAGAAGCATTTGTCACATTACATAAGGGAACATGCATAAATGACGTAGCATTTGAGGGGGGAGGTGGGGGTTTCAGAATTTGTGACCGGCCATGTATTGGATATAGCCAAATACGCTACGAGGTGGGGAGGAGGGGTCTAAAATTGATCAAAAATATGCTACGTCATTTATGGATGCTCCCTAACTGGTTTTATTTTTATGAAACTTCGAATCAACGTATCCTTAATCAAAATTTAAAGCAGGATTTGAAGTGACAATCAGGCCAGTGACAAGGCCTATACCAACAGCAGCGTTTGACAGTAGGCAGCATGTCCCGCGCTCAAATAATTTATTTTGCTGTACTGGGCCCGCTGTCACGGTATAACATATTGCCTATGCGCCTGCCACTGGGCTGGTGAAAACCGAGCGCTGCCCAAAAAAAACCGAATTCCGTAATTACAACAGGTGGGTCGGTTTGTTTGACAGCGTTCGGTAATTCTTGAGTAAACCGATGTTCGGTTATTTCTGCTTAGGTTTATTTTTCGTCAACCGAGATTTTCGGTAACTTTGATACATTGTGGGTAAAAAAAACAACTAACGACAGCTCGGTTATTTCTCTTTGAACCGAACAGACTACCGAGCGTTCAGCAGCTAAAAACTCGGTTGAAATCAAACCGAGTTCGGTATTATTTTCTAAGTGTGAAGGTAATCATATATGATCTTTCGACCAGCACACTCATCTGCTTCCTCACCTTTGAATTCGCATTTGAAATGAAATAAGAAGAGTGCCTACCTGTTTTTATCGACCGAATAGTCTCAATGGAACTGAGACTATCCTAGAAGATAGTCATATCATAGAGGTAACTCTAAGACCAGAAGGTCCCGAAAAAACGTACTCAGCTCTGGTACTCTCTTCGGTCCCAAGCTAATCAATGCACCCCTTGAAACATAGGAAAATCCACGAACCCCCCATTTTATCTGTCAAACTTTCATAGCGAATAAAAAAAAACATAGTGTAGTACTAGAATTTCGACTAGAATGGGGTACGTTAATCAATTTGCTTGGGACCAATAGGCTAGTCAAGTAGTGAGCCAATTTAAAATCGCTAGTTTCCATCGATTGGTTCTACTGTGATCGGTTAAAAGTTCTTGGTAAACAAAAAAGTCAGCTAATCGCAACTGTCTCGTGGACAGCCTTATAACAAAAGAGTCAGACAAACCGCTTCGATCATTGTGCTTATCCTTTGCCTTGACTAACAAGGGCTCCACTGTATGCGTTCCTTATTAATTAAGGAACTAACCTATTAAATTTAAATTTTGGGCCAAAAGAAGTTCATAGCAAACGGTATTTTTATACTTTATTTTTTTTTTGTAAATCTTATAAGTAACCTATTCATAGTCCGGAACCATGGGTGGGCAAGTGCAAACCAGGTGCTTGTCACCATATAGATCGTCAATACGTCCGACAGTTGGCCAAACCTTAGTCTCAGGTTTGACAAACGGCTGTAAAATATAATTTTAACGATTAGAGTTTTTTTAGTTGAATAGTTTTGCATAATGACGTACCGCTGGGAAAGCCCCTTGCTCTCTAGAATACGGACGGTTCCATTCGGATGAAATCGTTTGTTTTTGTGTGTGAGGGGCCATTTTCAATGGATTAACTCGTATATCTAGACGACCTTCCTCGATATCCTGAATTTCTTTGCGAATTGAGATCATCGCTTCACAAAAACGGTCTAGTTCTTCCTTGTCTTCGGATTCAGTTGGTTCTACCATAAGTGTTCCCGTCACAGGCCAGGACATAGTTGGTGCATGGAATCCGTAGTCCATCAAGCGTTTAGCAATATCGACTGCTTCAATATTGGCAGTTCTTTTAAAGTCCCGCACATCCATGATGAATTCGTGGGCCACCAAACCGGTGTTCGGATCCGTGTACAATGTTTTGAAGTGGTTTTCCATTCGCTTTGACATATAGTTGGCATTGAGGATGGCAACTTGTGTTGCCCGACGTAGGCCACGACCACCCATTAACTGAAAATATATTTAAAAAATATGCTTAATTCACCTGATCATCGTCGTCTCTAAATTGGCAATAATTTTGAACGATGAATACTTTTCGAAGAGTAGAAATCAAGACAAGGATGTGATTGTCAAATATCAACAATCGTCGTGCTCGCATACATTTGGTTCCAAGAAACAATAATCCATAATTATTTTTATTTGTTGTTGCTAGAGACCAAAGAATGAAAGGTCTCAGAAGCACTGCTGTGGGCTACAGGAAGATGGTTAAACATACAGTACTTACTTTAATATATGACCATGAGATTGGCAAAATGGACGAGCTTCCGTACGGTGCAGCGCTCACAACACCGAAGCTTTTATTATCGGTCCCTGCCAAGGGATCAATAACAGGATGGGTCGGAAGGAATGGTGCCAGATGAGCCTTCACGCCAATGGGCCCCATTCCTGGGCCACCACCGCCATGTGGAATGCAGAAAGTTTTATGTAGATTCAAATGTGATACGTCACTTCCGAAATCTCCGGGCCGACAAAGTCCCACTTGAGCGTTCATGTTCGCTCCGTCTAAATACACTTGACCGCCATGTTTGTGGACAAGTTCGCATACGTCGACAACGTTGTCTTCGAAAATTCCATTAGTTGACGGATACGTGATCATCAAGCAAGAGAGATTCTTTGAATGCTGTTCAACTTTTTCTTTCAGGTGAGCAGTATCAACCATTCCGGTGCTGCTATTTACTTTGATGGCCTCTACCCGCATACCAGCCATTTGCGCTGAGGCGGGGTTCGTTCCATGAGCGCTGATTGGGATCAAACAAATGGTTCTGTTACCTTCTCCTCGGGATTCATGGTAGCTTCGAATGGCTCTAAGACCAGCATATTCACCCTGAGCTCCACTGTTTGGCTGGAAGGAGATTTTATCATATCCCGTTATTTCACAAAGATCTTTTTCTAGTTCATCAAACATCTGTTTGTAGCCTTTAGCCTGATCAATTGGTGCAAATGGGTGAAGTTCTGTGAATTGCCGGAATGAGCAAGGTATCATTTCCGTTGTAGAGTTGAGTTTCATGGTACACGAACCAAGGGGTATCATTGAATGAACAAGGGAGATATCCTTGTTCTCGAGCTGTTTCATGTAGCGAACCATCCTTGCTTCGCTATGATGTTTGTTGAAGATCGGATGTGTTAGGAACGGTGATGTACGTTTGAATTGCGTCTTGTGAATAGACAAGGTCATAGCAATAGGATCAGCAAGTGTTGTTTCCAGATCAGGACAATTGAATACCCACAAAAGGTCAGCAACATCTGATGTTTTAACCGTCTCGTCCATTGAAACACCAATTGATTCATCGTCGAAATAACGCAAATTGATCTTTTTTGCTTCAGCCCTTGCTTTGACCTCTGTTGTACTCATTCCATGTGGAATAACGTGCAAGGTATCGAAAAAGGCCTTATTCAACTGTTCATGTCCAGCTTTGATCAATCCTGCATTAAGGGTTAAGGCGTAGTTATGAATTCTGTTAGAAATGTTTTTCAAGCCTTCAGGCCCGTGATAGATCGCATACATTGCCGCCATATTGGCTAGCAGTGCTTGAGCAGTGCAAATATTACTGGTAGCTTTATCTCTTCGGATATGTTGCTCTCTTGTTTGCAAAGCCAACCGATAAGCGTCCTGACCATCCATGTCTCTTGTAACACCAATCATTCTACCAGGAATCAATCTGGTTAACTTTTGTCGGCATGCGAAGAATGCAGCATGGGGCCCACCATATCCCAGAGGAACACCGAATCGTTGGGCAGATCCAATAGCAATATCTGCTCCAAATTCCGCCGGTGATCTCAAAAGAGTCAGTGCCATTAGGTCAGTTGCTACAGCAACAAGTGTTCCATTTTTCTTACAATCTGCAGATACCTGTTCAAAGTCCTGCACGTCTCCAAAAGTATCAGGATATTGCAAAAGTATACCGGATATTTCATGATCTGCGAAGTCAATTTCTCTAACCGATCCTACCAGTACCTCAATACCGAAAGCTTCGAGACGGGTTCTCACAACTGCAACGGTTTGGGGATGTAGCTTACGAGAAATAAAAATCTTCTTCCGCTTATTGTAACGATGACATAGGCTCATTGCTTCGGCCGCAGCTGTTCCTTCATCCAGTAGCGATGCATTGGCGATCTCAAGTCCGGTAAGCTCGGTAACTAGGGTTTGAAAATTCAACAAGGATTCCAACCGACCTTGACTTATTTCCGGCTGGTACGGAGTATATTGTGTGGTCCATCCAGGGTTTTCGAAAATATTCCGCAGGATAGGATGTGGAACTAGGCAGTTGTTATAACCCATACCTATGTACGATCTCCATACTTCGTTCTTGTTCGCAATGGCTCGGATTCGGTCGATAAGTTCATGCTCATCTGCAATGGTAAATATCATGGGTTAGATATATAGATATATAGATATCCAGCGCAGCCCAAAATCAGGCTCGCGGGTAGAGTGATAGAGACTGCACATAATGAAGTTTACACTGATAATTGAACATAGTGGGAATTTTGTCTGAACTGTAAATGTAAGTGTTTTATTATGTCACAGTTTTATCATGAGCTTGTGCTGGCTCTGAAGCTTGAAGACGAGGGTCAGTGCTGGGAGTAATGAACTACTTGCACGCAAGCTTGCAAATGCTCATTACAGCTAAAATACTATTTTTCGGATTTATGAAGCTATGAGATATTTTAATGATAATTCTTATTAACAAGATACAAGAAGAGATGGTACAGTGTGTGTATGGCACATAAAATATGTCAATTTAGCTTTCAGAGGGTAACAATAGCAATTAGCTGTAACGATGAGCAACGCGATGAGCGAGCAATCAGCGATCATAAAATCGCTAGTTATGACCTTCTGAAAGCAAAATTGACAAATTTTATGTCATACACAAACTTTACCACCTCTTCTTGCATCTTACAAATAAAAATTATCATTATAGTATCTCATTGTTTCATAATTACGAAAAATAGCATTTTAGCTGTGATGAGCAATTGCAAGCCTGCTTGCACGATACAGTTTGGATCTGCAAATATTTCGTAACCTCGCAAAGTCAGTCCTCTAGTATACGGATTCGCAAATATCCAATAAATATCTTAAAATTCGTTGTTATGCAATAAATATTTAGAAAATTTGATGATACCCCTACAAACAATTTTAGCTGCATAACGGCAACAATTAGCTGTATAAGTCAATAATCCTGTATAAGCAGTTTTGCAGCTAAAATGGTTAGTTGGGACGTCCTTATGAGTTTAACTCATAATGTTAATAACAACAACCTGTACAACAACAAAAACAACGATCTCTACCCGTCTCTAAATTGCCTGAACAAACACATAATCTATCGTTACAGTAACGATTTTTTTAAAATTTGTTTGCCAATATAAAAATGCTATGACGTGTTTTCGAAGTATTTTCATTAGTTATACCAGACTACAGATGCAATTCAATAGCACTGACCTTAAACCTCTAAGTACAATCACCGAAAATCACGTAGAAGTGTAGTGACAAAACTTCGACGTAAACATGAAACCGATAACCTCTCTAACACATACACGTTATCAGTAAGGCAACGAAAAGATTGTTGTATTTCCGCTAAATATTTGCGATTAGTGAAATATCCCACTATCACCTTAGAGTGCCAGGCCCCGCAAATCTCGACAAATCGGATGCCACGTCGCTCTGACGTGATCCTTGAACGTTCCGTTTCTGTAGCTGGCTGATGCTACTATTAAACGTAAGCAAACTTGAAAGTATAGTGCAAAACAAACCCAGCAACTGATAATGGCACCGATAATTCATTGCAAAGCTAATAGAACTGAGTTTCTGGCACATGTGATGATCATAGATCAAAAGTGAATCTGTAACCCCCGCAAAGAAGCATTGATAACAATGTATAATGTGCAATCGCGTTTGGCAGAACATCGTTGCTGCGAATGGATGCGATCATGGGTTCATTGTAGGCTCTTGCCGTCTTGCTCCCTTGGACGTTTTGACTAATTGCTGGAACTGACATTTTGACAAAGGCAAAGAGTGCCACCCTAATGTATATATGTTTCACAATAGGTCTATTCCTGTTTTTGCTTTTCTGTAAAATTCTGCCAATAGCAACAGCATGTTCTCGTACTTTCTGCAGTATGTATATGATTTTATTGCAGCAACAATTAATTTTTATATGAATTCATCTTATTTTGCATTGCAAATGCTATGTTAAGTTAGACAAAGTATACGTCATATTCGAGGGACCGCGGATCCAAAGTATATTCGTTATGAGTCAGGTAACGGCGCCGGTGGTGTAGTGGTAAGCGTGATTACCTCTCACCCCAGCAGGCCTGGGTTCAATACCAGTCGGCGCCGCCGGGATGTTCTGAGGCATAACATCTCTGATCACGCCTTCCTTCGGATGGGAAGTAAAGCCGTTGGTCCCCGGTTCATGAGTTGATGGGTCGATAGGTAGGGTCCAGGTGTAGAAGCTGCCTTCCTGGCACGTCGGTAGCATTGGTGCTCAGCACGGAAAACAAGATCGACGGAAAAAAACAAACCAAAGGAAATGAGTCAGGTAACACAGGAGTGCTTCCCAATTAGTCATACGGCCAAAATCATGTTAAAAATTAGTTTTTCCATTTTTTTCAACGTAGGCATTCAGAAACAGAACAGCATTGACATTAACATCATGTGGACGAAATTTTGAATTTGAGGTTTTAGCGCCATAGCTGGTACACTTCTCATATGTCATTAGGCCGTGTTGATTTTTGCATATGTAATTTCGAATTTACATAGACACATACTCACTGGCGTGCCTAACTTATAACGAATATATGTTGTATCTGGGAGAACATGAACTCATGGAGTCCCGTGTGTTATATCTATATATTGTTGTGTTATCGAAGTGTCTATGATTCTTCAAAGTGTCTATGATTCTTCAAATTTTCAAATCCTGGGCTTAAGGTCTTGATTTTCTACAGGTTAGACAAAATCTGACAAACTGAATTTTATAACTCTTAGCATTTATTGAAGCCTCTGAAATTTTCTATCATATAGATAAAAGAGTTTAAGAATTTGACGTTTGCATCGTGTGAGGAGTACTATCGAAGTAAAGTGTTTGTTCCTTTCCTTGGTAGCATTGCGAACTCACATCAGGAGACGTTGGTTCCACTTCAGATACTTTTAAAATTTCTAGAGCAATCGATTACAAATTTTTCATAACATTATGACATGGAGTCATTCGGTTTAGCAATCGAAGTAGTTCTATAGTGCAAAACTTTTTTGTACTTGAAATCTTCAAACTGAGTTTTCAATAATTGTAATGACACTCTAATACCTACCATAATCAATATATGGTACGACAACATTTTCCGTGATAGCCTGCTCAGCTGAAAGGTCATTTAAATCATGTTTATTCATGATCGTATTCCCGTTTCTGAAGATGATGTACTGAATTGTTTATGCCGAAAAAAAAGCAGGTTGATTATTTGTTCATATTTCTTTAATGTAACAAACAATGTTCAAATACAATCACACCAAACCTTTTCTTAATATTTTTATCACAAGATAAAGTTACAAACTGCCCAGGCAAAAATCCTAGCTGTGCCACTTAGCAAGACGATTTTTTAATTTTTTTAATTTTCTACGGGGCGGTCTTAGGCGGTTTTACACTTTTTCATATTATGTGCTTATGCAAATTCTGATTTTTTTTTTTGCGAAGATCAACACAGCGTACTATGTCATGGTTAAACCATGACGGAATAAACGATATTGAACATCTAGTTTTCGAACTGTATATTGTAGTCTTGTGTTGCAGTCTGAAAATATTAACATCTCTAATTTTCTTGTATTCTGCACATTAAACACTGTTTAATATTTTTCTTAGATTCTCTGGATAGATGTGAAGATTTGAAAGTGACAAGATAAATAGTCAGATAAATGAAAAATATTGACTTGCAAGATAAAATAAAATAAAACTAAAACATAGAATATATTTTTTGGTGATTTGTGAAATGACTTACTTTGAATGTTCATTAAATAGTTATGAGTTTAACAATCAGTAATTTAAGCATTACATAATTTTGTTTGGGTCAAAATATTCACATATTTAGAATAAACAATACGGATACAACGTAAAATGAAAAAGTTACGGACTTTTTCCGGTGTCCGTTTTATAAAGTGAACAGTCCTTAATATTATAATGTAAGCTCCAATCTGTGGAAAAAATGTAAAGCAGATCGAAAAAAAATGTTATTTTTATTTTGTGGAATTATTTCAGAAAATAAAATATTTTTTTTTGTTCGTTCTGCTTTTTATTTTTTTCAAATCAGAAATTGATAATGGATATGGAACACAATGGAACCCCAATTTCATCAGCACGCAGTTTTTAGAGTTTTAGCTCACTTAAGGGGAAAGGGGCCGATTTTTTTCTAAATTACAAATGCAGTTTTTTTGACTTCTGTTTCTGATTTTCTGATAATGAAAATGTGTTCACAGTGCTCTGGTTAGCAAGTAGAATACACTGAGTACATTTTTCATAAAAAGAATTTGTTTGATGTATTGCGTTCTCTTGTAACTTAACGAGCACATAATAAACTGATTTATATTCTATAATTTTATTTTCATGTGAAGCTTTCAGAACCCTTTTCACGTTCAGTTGACATTACACATGTTTAGCATTTTTGTGAAACATTTTTCACCTTTTTTTTCATGATTATTGACCTTATTTTTACAAAATTACTTACTCAAGGGATCTTCAATGTTCAGGATTCTGTTAAACTTGATAGCATCCGGCACTGCCTTCTCCGATAGCTCGTCCAATGACTGCAATAACATGAACATGAATGCACTTATTACTTTTGTAAAATCGTATCAAAATGTTCACTTTCATTTTCTTTTAGTGATCAGTTTAATAGTGTTTATTATTTTTGTTCAGTTCATGTGTTCATCGTTCACTGATAGCCTCATCGTTATTCAAGTGTTATCAGTAGAGATGATGAGTTCGTTATGAACTTTTTATTACCTTAAAACCGATAGAGTTTAGCATGGTAACGACATCCGTTTTTCGGGGACCTATGTGGCGTGAAGCGAAGTCAGGTTTGTTGGGGAAAACTTCCTCTACTGTGGCCAGGTATCGTTGCAGTTGGTTGTTGAAATTGAGTTGATTGGATAGTATCGGCAATAAGGATTTATGCCTATTGGAAATGGTTTTATGTCCAACATATTGGAGCGATTTGTTGAAAATAGCACGTTGCATTGTTTAATTCTTAGTTTTCCCTTTGTAAATTTAACTGAACACAATTCTAAAGAGGTTTCCAGATTTAAGAAATACACATCATCAATAAATCACTTGCTTAGCACTTTGTATCAAACGGTCACACGGCACTTCTAGTCGCACTTTATGGAACACCCGATCAGTAGAACGATTTGCATAGGACTAAGCCTCGAGCTGGTCCGTCGTTCAATTTTAAAGTAGGTTTGATATGAGCTTATCAGTGCCACGATGATGCTGCAGCGACCTTGCAGGCAGGACTGAGAGTTACAACTCGATCGAGATAGGTGAGGAACTGTTTTTAGCGACAACTAGGCCGATTTGAAATTTGAAATTTTTACTCCATAAAGTGTGATCCAGTTAAAATCCGGGCGCACAAATAGGTACTACAGTAACTTACCAGCCTTAATTGTTATGATATATATATCTAAATGTTCAGTATATATATATATCTAAGGAATTCAGTATTTTAAACAGGTTTTCTATATTTATTTAAGTGGAATTAAATGGAAGATAACCTTTTAGCTGTTTTATTAGGTTTTCTGTACCTGCATGTCAGAATAACAATTGTTAATGAAAAACTGCTTATGTAATAGGTCTGTTCCCGTTCTTGCTTGTCTGTGAGATTATGAAAATCAAAAGCTTGTTCCCGTAATTTCTGCAGAATATCATTTTTTCACAGCAACTTACAGCAAGCTGTAGTACAGCAAAAAAAAGGAACAAGAAGTGGAACAACACATATTACTGAATGATCCCTTGCACAATTATTTTGCTTTATTTAATATTGCTTTATTTTGAAAAAAAATGTTAGATTCTTATAGGCCACCCTCCAGTTTGATTCATAACCCCAAAATATGAGCATCCTATTCCCGGTCCATGAGTTGATGTGTCGATAGTTAGGGTCCAGGTAAGGGAGCTGCCTCCTTGGCGTCGGTAGCATTGGTAATCATCCAGGTACAAACAAATTCAACAAAGCACCTGTAAAGTTTTGGCTTGATTTGACAAGTCGCTATACTGCTATAATACTAATTTCATAGAAAAGAACATTATTCCATCCAATCGCTTCTATTCCGCCTTATCGAGACATTGAGATTTCGGTAAAATCTCACAGGTTTCGGTAAAATTATATTAATGTGTAGCGTACGTACCGCTCTGTTGTTTCCTTTCCTGACTATCCTGTCATTTTCCAACTTCTGGGTGCTTGCGGGCCTTCCGCTGGGGGCAGGAAATCATTCGGTGACCTCCACCTTACATAGAAAGCATGTATTCTTTTTCCCCGAATAGAATATATTCCCCTTCCGATTGAGGAAATTAAGCGAGGAGGAAATCTCCTTTTCCATGTCCATGTAAATACCTCTCACACCTGTATGCTTATTAGACTGATGCAAAATTTGAAATTTTCGCTCCACAGTGCTCAAAAGGTTTCAAATCGAATGCTGATTAACATTTTAAAATTTGCACAAACTATTTGAAGTTTCTATGGAAAAACAAACTTTTTATTCATTGTTTTCTAATCTTTTCCCATTTTGCACTGTCAAAAAGTTCTATAACTATTTTTATAGCAAATTTACTCAGCTAAAACTTTGCTCTAGATAGTTTTTCAGCCAAACGTCAAATTAAATAGTTATTAATTGTTTAAGAGATTGAGAATCTTATGGCATGATTCAGCAGCTGTTTTGTGGGCAAGACTGTATTCTGCAGTGTGGCATAGCAGCCATGATTTTTGTGCTACGCGTCCAGAAACACCAATGTTGCCTGCTGAACAATTGATTGAGCATAATCATAAGACATCAGTGACTTGAATCATTAATAACTTTTGTAACTTACATTTTATCGAAAAGTGGTAGCTGAAGAAATTTCCTACAAGCACAGTTATTATTTTCTATAGCAGATAGATGGATATCTTCACCACTGCGTCCTAGCAAGAAGTACGGTAGACTTGTTTCCGGCTCCGTTAATTTGGAAGTTTTCTCGCTATTATCTAACGTAAATAATCAGTTTTTTCTCGCTTAGTGATTCCTGGCATAATTCCCGATAAATTGATCAAAAAGTGAGTTTTTTTCTGAGAAGAAAGTGTGTTTTCGGCATCATCGAAAATTGTTTTTGCGATTCGCAATTCGCCAATCATTTTGCGCACCATCGGTGCGTGGTCACGCATACCTGTGCACACGGATCATCGTCATCGAGTGTCAGCATCTGCCTCCACATTCAAACCGCTCATCCATCATCGTGTATTCAGCTGAGCGCCGAGCTTCATACAAGCACACACCAACGAAGACCACCCGCACACGCGGATCGAAGATCATCCAAGCTGCGCATCGCTCCGCTGCTGCTGTGTAAACGCTCGGTGGTAGTAGTATAGGATTATCAGATAAGTTTTTGTTCTTGTTTCTTTCTTTCTCTTATCAGTTAAATTTTAAGTTTGTGTTTCTGTGTTAGTATTTTTTTTTCGTGTATTGTGTCCGAGTAATTTTGATTATCGTTTCAGTGGTAGAGCGTTTTTTGCTCCCACTAGTACGACAAAATGGACATTTTGTCGGAAGACGAAATGGACGTTTTGTCGGAAGATGACACCACTTTGCCACGCGATAGCAAGAAGGGTCGAAAAAGTCTGTCATCCCAGAAATCAGATGATGTCATCCCTGGTTCGTCATCTCAGTCTGGTAATGGACAGGGACAGATAAGCCCCCGATCGCGAGCCTACTCAGAAGACTCGACTGGCCCATGGGTTGTTTACTTTCAGCCCAAAAAAAAACCTTTGAATGTAATGCAAATTACTAATGATCTGACGAAGCGGTTCTCGGCCGTGACCGAAATATCGAAGGTGAGGTACAATAAACTTCGCGTTGTCGTCTCTAACCTGAAACAAGCTAACGAGATTGCTGCCTCCCAGCTCTTTACGCTCGAGTATAGAGTGTACATCCCAGCTCGTAATGTGGAGATCGAAGGTGTGGTCACCGAAGCGAGTCTGACCCCAGAGATCTTGGCGAAGCAAGCGGTTGGCCGTTTCAAGAACCCCTTGCTTCCCACGGTTGAGATACTGGAAGTCCAGAAGCTGAACTCAGTATCTTTCAGCGAGGGTAAAAAGAGCTTTACCCCCACAGACTCGTTTTGGGTGACCTTTTCTGGTTCAGCCCTTCCTCACTACATCGAGTTGGGAAAACTTCGGCTACCTGTGCGTTTGTTTGTTCCTCGGGTCATGAACTGCCAAAACTGCAAACAGTTGGGACATACGGCCTCTCACTGTGGCAGCAAGGCACGCTGTTCCAAATGCATGGAGAAGCACGAGGATGGCGCCTGCACAGTCAATGCACCAAAATGCGTATACTGTAAGGGAACTCCTCATGGTCTCTCATTGGCCCGGCGTACAAACAACGCGGGGAGAAACTAGAACGCTCTCTTAAGGAGCGTTCCAGGCAGTCTTTTGCAGCAATGCTAAAAACAGCCACACCATCAACCAACGACAAAAATCCCTTTGCTGTTTTGTCTGATGACGAGTCTGACTCTGACTTGGCTGAGGAGGGAGTTTCTTTCAGTTTTCCGGAAGGTTCTGCACGGAAACGAAAACGCATCCGTTCGCGGAAAGTTGCAGATAAGGAACCCCAAATCAGCTTGCCCAAATCAAGGAGTGATGGAAAAAAGGAAGTTTCAACTTCTCCTGGTTTCCGCAGAACTGACTATAACCAGAATTTTCCATCTCTCCCGGGGACATCAAAAACCCCTGATGGCCCATTTTTAAGAACAGAAGCCCCTTCTTCATCCGGGTTGTTCTCATTTGATAAAATTGTGGACGATATCCTCAAGTACCTGAATATTTCCGATCATCTCAAAATCATTGTTCTGGCAATGCTTCCTTCTGTGAAGACCCGCTTGAAGCAACTGACATTGAAGTGGCCCCTTATTGCAGCAATCATTTCCTTCGATGGATAATTTTCCAAACGAGGTCGGGGATTTGATCACTGTTCTACAGTGGAATTGTCGAAGTCTCATTCCTAAATTAAATTCTTTTAAGTTTTTAGTTCACAATAATGATTGTGATGCATTTGCTGTTTGTGAAACTTGGCTCTCTTCAGACATCGATCTTCCTTTTTATGATTTTAACATTATTCGACTGGATCGTGAGGATTCGCGTGGAGGAGGGGTACTTTTGGGGATCAAAAAGTGCCATTCCTTCTATAGAGTGAATCTTCCACAATTTACAGGTATTGAAGTTGTCGCATGTCAGGCTATTATTAAAGGTAAGAGCCTTTGTATTGCTTCTGTTTATATTCCTCCTAGAGCCGTTGTTAATCGCAAACAACTTTCAGATATCTGTTCGGTACTTCCTGCTCCACGGTTGATTATGGGTGATTTGAATTCCCACGGTACAGGCTGGGGGGAACTGTATGATGACAACCGTTCTACTTTGATATATGACCTCTGCGACAGCTTTAATATGACAATTCTTAACAATGGAGAAGTAACACGTTTGGCTAGCCCATCCTCGAATGGAAGTAGATTAGACCTCACACTTTGCTCTAACTCATTATCGTTGGATTGCACGTGGAATGTGATCCAAGATCCCCACGGTAGTGATCACTTGCCGATCAAAGTTTCAGTTGCCAGTGGGTTCAATCCGTCGGAACCCGTTAACGTCGCGTACGATCTTACCCGTAATATCGATTGGACAAAGTTCAAGAATGTGATAGAAGATGCCCTAACGTCGGTAGAAGGGCTTCCACCGTTGGAGGAATATAACTTCCTCTCCAATCTGATCTTGGACAGCGCGCTTCAAGCTCAAACTCGGCCGGTTCCAGGAACGTCTTTCCGTCTAACCTCCTTCCCCTTGGTGGGACCAGCAATGCACTGAGGTTTATCGTAAAAAGTCCGACGCGTTTAAGCTTTTCCGGAAACGTGGAACACCCGTACATTTCGAAGCGCACTCGGCTCTTGAACGCGAACTCAAGAGCCTCATCAAAGCCAAGAAACGCGGATACTGGCGGCAATTCGAGGACGGATTATCGCGCGAAACGTCGATGAATACGCTTTGGAATGCGGCGCGAAGGATGCGTAACCGGTCTTCAAACAACGAGAGCGAGGAGTACTCGGATAGTTGGATTCTCAAGTTCGCGCGAAAAGTATGTCCTGATTCTGTGCCGGCACAGATGATTCCTCGCG